CTAATATTAAAAAAGCACAATCAACCAAGCCAGAAACAGCTTAATATAACTGCCAGGGTCATGCAGAAAGGAGGCATTGCACAGAAACAAATCATGCAACATAATGTGTTTGAAGTAGCTCAATGAGTTCTTCCTAATGGGCTAACAAGACAATCCCAGGGACAATACTGCAGAAAAGGTGGTTAAGCCTGGCATTCAGAAAATATCACAAGATTACAGCTTTAAGATTATTACACGATTGAGTCATTTATTCTATTCTCCATTCACGTTAAAATCCCATTACTATTGTTCTTTTTATAGCCTCAGTTACAATAACGAGGTTTTGCATCCCTCACACATTCATCGGAAAGCAATAGCATACACTGCTCCTCTGACCTTTCATACAAGTCTGAAATTTGCTTGGTCAGTCATTCCTGTCCTCTTTTACAGTATCCACATGGTTGAACTGAACTACTTTACAGAATAGTTAAAAGGTGCAACCCTATCACATTCTGTTCTCTTGGTCATACAGCAGAGGTCAGGGGGATGCTGGTGTCTCGGTCAGTAATTGTAATAAACTCTTGTTTTCTTGTTTAGCGACAAAGGATACAAACAGGGATGCGTTTGTCCCAGCAATCCCACCAGTAATCCCATGGTTATGTACCCTGGGTAAAACACTCATTCAATAAGCTAGCACAGGCACTATTTAAATTCCAAGTAAGTCCTATTTTGAGAGTAAGCCTCAGAGGGAGTGTAAGTAGTTACTGCATATTTAGTTTAGTACTTCCTTAATGAAGTACTAAACTTCCTTTAGTACTTCCTTAATGAAGTACTAACTAAATGTGTGGTAACTACAATTACCGCACAGTAGCACCAGTGCATGGTTGTTTTGTGACACTTCCTGCTCAGTAGCCTAATAACACTGCACAGTAGTGTATTAGCATAGTTTTTGACTGGCATGCTACTGCACACTGTTCTTAGGCTACTGCACAGTAATTGTCTCATAGACGTGCCCACTGGTCATAAGTGGTTCGTGGCACAGAAGTGAATTTTATGCCATGACTGCAATCAAGTTAGCTACTTGATTGTGCTCATACCATTTGTTCATGGGAGTACCTCCACTGGGTATCTCCAGCATGGCCTAGTGCAGGAGTGGGCAGTAATTTCGGCTGGAGGGCCGCTTAATGAGTTTTGCTGAGCTGTTGAGGGTTGCAAGGGTAGCCCTGCCCCTTGACAGATACCCTTCCCTCTGGTCATCATCTTGGGACCTGACCTTTGCCACTGGAAGTCCCTCCCCTTGCTCCCAGAAATACTTCTTTTTTGGGGGGGAGGAGGGAAGGGAAGGAGTTTGTCATCTTGGAACCAGAAAAATAATCATATACTAAAAATCAAACATCTACTATAACATATTGTAATTTCATTTCAAAAATATTTTTTGTCCTGATTTATCTATATACACTTTGTATAGTGTATTTAGATGCAATTATATAATAGCTCAAAATAAAGTCTTACTCTTGTATATTGTCTGTTGGGGATAGGGGGACGTATGTGGGAGGGTGTGTGGTGTGTAGGTGGAGAGTGGGTGTGTGCGTGTGCTGGGGCATGGGAGATGTGGGGTGTGAGTATAGTAGGGGGTGGTGGGGTATGGTGTTTGTGCAGGGTGGGGGTGTATGTGTGTATGGGAAGGGGTATGAGGGTGTGGGTGTAGGTGTGTGTATGGTGGAGGGGCTCTGCAGGCAAGATGGTATTGTCTGGTGGGCCACATCTGGCCATATTTAGCCCACCCCTAGCCTAGTGGCTACAGAACTGGAGTACAACAGATGAGACCTGGTTCTGTTCCCAGTCCTCCTCTGGGCACTGCAAGCTCTCTTCAGGGCTTCAGCATTCAGAAGTCTGCATGTGTGGCTCTGGGTAAATTTCCGACAGATGTTCAGTTTCTCCAGGGAGTGCCATGGCTCTCTCAGGAGAAACCACAAGTATGCAGATGTTCATAATTTTTCTCCCAGAGTAAAAGTGGCCACGCTGGGAGAAAATTAGCTAGGAAACAACCCAAGTGAAGTGGCTCCTGGGAGAATCTCTGTAAGGAGACTGAATGTCTGTGCAGGCAGTCTACCAGGAGAACAAACCTGGGAGAATTCTTCCAGATTATTTGAATGCATGGGAACGCTTTGTGAATTTGAGCCTGGGGTCCATTTTAAGATCCTTATCAAATACTGTGATTTTTAAAAAATATTCTCTTACTTTCTAACTACTGGAATAGGAGGGAAATCTCCAAAACCACTTTGGAAAAAAGTCATTGCTTTACTTTCTATATATAACATTCACATATAATATTGTAAAATCCAATTCCCCGCCCTCCCCTTGAGAGATAAACATTAATTACAGCACTTTTCCAAAGAGGATGTAGAAAGCACTTACCTTGTTGGTCACAGCATTGCTAAATAATTACCAGCCTGTAGATATGAATTCAGTAACGCAATAACATTATAGGAAGGATAATGCCAAATGGTGATTTATTATATTTAAAGATAGCTTTTTATTCCTTTGAGGCATGCATTTGAAAATAATAGACTATATTTTCTCTTGGCATAGTTTGATTGTCATGCAGTGGCATTAGTAGCAGAGAACATGGTCCAGTATTTCTATCATTTTTTTCCTCCTCTCTGTCCAGCCAATTTGTTACCAGCATTTGAGTGTTTTCATATATGAACCTGCATGAGCTTGCTGTCCTTTACCCTAGATGTTGCTTTTTAACAAAATTGTCTATATAGCTTGCAAAGTACTGTGGGTTCCTTTGGGATAAAAGATTTTTATGAGTAGTTTCATTGTTCTGCATCTGCTAGCTCAGCAGTATCTAACAATTTCTTAGCAACAGAAGACTATATTTTCGAGTGCAAGAGAAAACCTGAAGAATATTGCACACTGTGTTATCACCGTTTTAAAGTAGAAAACCCCCTTTGTGTTAAAATGACATGCTAAAATCTCTTATGGTGGATTCTTTGAGTGCCCCTTTTCCTTCATGCTACATATGCACAGTGTCCACTAATGTCAGCAAGGATATTGTACATATTTGGAGGGCAAAAATTAACCTGGGTGAAATTCTACCTCATGCAAATTCAATGATTCAGGGATTTCATGAAGGGAAGATTTCTCCCCAGCTTCCTTTCTGTCTTGTGTTGCTGCAAAACGTATCATTTGCCACAAAGACATGCCAGTAAGAGACCAATGCCTATTTACTGGTCCCAATTACCTGATGTGGGCTGCGGCTACTAATTATTATCACCACAGTCATGTGGCAGAGGTTCAGCACACACTGACTCCACTGGCTACTGTTGCATCTTTCTTTCTTTTTTCTTCTTGAAAAGCCATGTGCAAATTTATTATTTTTTGGATCCCAGTCAGGATCCAGGTTCAAGCTCAACAGATATTGGGTAGAACAATGGCTTTAGCATCAGATTGCTTGCCATCTGAGTTATATGTGTGACCGGGTCTGGTTTGCAAGCCAGGGCCTTGATTCTGCTCTTGGGTTAGTTCCTGTGGATCCTCAAGCCAAAAGAGCTGTATGTGGGTAGAGAGTACTTACTCCTATCAGTCCAGATGAAGAAAGACTTATGTTACTAATAGATTCTATACAATACTGATTTTGAAATTATACTGTTGTAACTCATGCCCTAGGAGATTGCATTAGTCCTGTGTATATTTGGGAAAAAAATCCTGCTTAGAGCTTGTCTTTACACTGAAATTCTGAATGCATACTGTGACCCACACTAGAAGACATTTATTTATGAGCTTTATTCATATAAAAAAAGAAGGATTCTGTTTTATGATCCTGTGAAAGTCTCTTTCTTACTAACACACAGCTTCATTTTTTTTCCTGGATGTTTAAGCTGTAAACATAAAATTTAATGCACATGACATTTGATTCATGCAGAATTAAATTTTTCCTAGTATAAAAGCCTGATGTAGGTTATGTAGCAGCGTTATATTATTTTTGTCGCTTAAGTCGTGTCCATTGAGGAACGCAGAATTTTCCCCTGGGGTCAGTTGTTCACGGTTTGCTACTAAGTAAAAAAAAAAAAAAAAAAAAAAAAAAAAAAAAAAAAAAAAAAAAAAAAAAAAAAAAAAAAAAAAAAAAAAAAAAAAAAAAAAAAAAAAAAAAAAAAAAAAAAAAAAAAAAAAAAAAAAAAAAAAAAAAAAAAAAAAAAAAAAAAAAAAAAAAAAAAAAAAAAAAAAAAAAAAAAAAAAAAAAAAAAAAAAAAAAAAAAAAAAAAAAAAAAAAAAAAAAAAAAAAAAAAAAAAAAAAAAAAAAAAAAAAAAAAAAAAAAAAAAAAAAAAAAAAAAAAAAAAAAAAAAAAAAAAAAAAAAAAAAAAAAAAAAAAAAAAAAAAAAAAAAAAAAAAAAAAAAAAAAAAAAAAAAAAAAAAAAAAAAAAAAAAAAAAAAAAAAAAAAAAAAAAAAAAAAAAAAAAAAAAAAAAAAAAAAAAAAAAAAAAAAAAAAAAAAAAAAAAAAAAAAAAAAAAAAAAAAAAAAAAAAAAAAAAAAAAAAAAAAAAAAAAAAAAAAAAAAAAAAAAAAAAAAAAAAAAAAAAAAAAAAAAAAAAAAAAAAAAAAAAAAAAAAAAAAAAAAAAAAAAAAAAAAAAAAAAAAAAAAAAAAAAAAAAAAAAAAAAAAAAAAAAAAAAAAAAAAAAAAAAAAAAAAAAAAAAAAAAAAAAAAAAAAAAAAAAAAAAAAAAAAAAAAAAAAAAAAAAAAAAAAAAAAAAAAAAAAAAAAAAAAAAAAAAAAAAAAAAAAAAAAAAAAAAAAAAAAAAAAAAAAAAAAAAAAAAAAAAAAAAAAAAAAAAAAAAAAAAAAAAAAAAAAAAAAAAAAAAAAAAAAAAAAAAAAAAAAAAAAAAAAAAAAAAAAAGAAAAGAAACCCCACAAAATATGGTACGCATAATTCACATGATGTGCTATATCGTTCCCTTCTGCTCCTCCTTGACCTTTTATCCATTTTTTTAAATTAATCTTGTTGCTGTCTTTAAGGTTTCTGACAGATGCGACTCCATCTTCGTTAATGGCAAGGAGATGAAAAGTAAAGTGGATACCATTGTTAACTTCACTTACCAGCATTTTACTACCCAGCTAGAAGTGACAGTGTGGGTTCCACGGCTTCCTCTGCAGATAGAGATCTCAGATACAGAGCTCAGCCAGATCAAAGGCTGGAGGATACCAGTCAGCTCCAATAAAAGGTAGGAGGGCAGTAATTCCAGGACCTAAATGCATGCACTTGGCTTGGGATTCGATAATGCAGTACATTCATTTACGGGTTATTTTTCCTAATCCAGAACCTTTTGTTTTCAAATAAATTGTAGTGCCTGCCTTGACCTTAATTCTAACACTCAGGGCAATGACAAATGTCGGCAAAATACTGTCCTCAGTTGTATCCTGTGAAACTCAGTGGAATTAACGGACGCGATTGGTGTATAAGTGAAGTCCACATCTCTCTATATGGCTTTTACTTGCTGTGCCCCATCTAAGTGAAAGCTGGCTTCATGCCTACTCTGACGAAAGAAAGCGGACCTAACCATCAGACATACAACAATAAGTACGTTGAACGGAGCACTTGGAGACACAGGATTAAACACAGGCACATTAGGAAAGATGCACATCCGAGTAGAGGGCTGGGTATCTAAAATACTTGAGTTCTAATCTAAGATCCAAATCCCCGAGTCCGGGTTTGATTCTTGTTGTGTTAAATCACTTGCAATACTGGCCTCAGCTTCTCCACCTATAAAATCAGGTAGTATTTATGTATTTCACAGTCGTGTTGCAAAAATGATTTATAGTCTACCTCTACATGCAATGAATAGCACCTTACTCCTAGTTATCCATTTGCAATTAATAACACATTACTGGATGGCTGTGTTGAAAGTATTGCATAGAAAAAACCCAAGAGTTGGCCATCCAGATACGGACATTTACCTGCATACTTCATTGTAGTGGCAAAATTCTGAATGCGGTTATGCGTATGGACAATATTTCACCCGTGGAAGCTTAGCTCCTTGCTCATTTGTCCTTATGTTTGACGTGCATGCAGCTCAGTAAGGCTTTTTATATCGTTTACATGAAATTCTGAAGTGAAGGTGGCATTTTCCATTAGATTCCCCTCTCGGTCTCTTTTTGCCTAAAGAACACAAGTGCAGTTTCTTTAACCTTTTTGAATATAGATGAGGTTCTTATTTCTGTGGATTATTTCAGTCGACCTCTGCTGCCTCCTTTCTCCATTACTGTAATACAGTAAAAGGCTCCCATAATAGACTCGCCCAATATCTCCTTATTTTGCTTGAGCCAGAATCAGTTATTTCTAAATTCATAACAAGCAGCTGTATTGCACTTTGCATGATCTTGTTCCTCTCGCTTTGTCCCATTAGTCTGGCTGATTTGTTAGATTTGGTTTTTTTTACCATTGAGATCAGCCAATTCAGAATATGTTCTCAAAAGCCATTTGCGGTGACTTACAACTTCATCCACGCTTGTGTCCAACGTACTGACTTATTGTAGCGGCATGCACCATGAAGCACCATCATTACTAACATGCTGATAATGCATAGATCCAAAATTCTCTCTCAAATCACCAGCTATATCAACACAAAGATGGAGCTACCTGAGCATATGTAAAATCTTGCAGGTGAAAAAGGGGTAAGCTGAATGATCATTAAAGCAGCAGGACCTTTGAAGATGCATCAAGCTGTGTACAAGCGGGTTCTACAGCTGAGCTCAAAGAAGCATTACTTAGCTGATCTGACTGAGGCAAGAAAGCTTTGAGGTTTCATAAAATACTATCTTCTGATAAAGAGACTGCTGGTGGAATAGTGGAGGAGGAAAAAGGCTTCTTGAGGTTTTTTTTTCTCCTTTCTCACCCTTCTCAGAGCACCCATGCTGCAATGGCCACAGTTTATACCAGTAGCTAGATTAAAAACTTCTAGGAATATGACTGTGTTGGTGAATTTGAGACGTTGAGAAATATTCTGAAAGAGCATGGCATGACACCAGATCAGATTTGTAATGCAAAGGAAAAAGAGTTTCTTTCAACAGCATACCATGCTGCTGAAACACCACCACAGCTCCAATGAAAGGGGCTTCTGTTGGCGTCGCTCAGGAAGAGCCTAAAGGAACTTACCAGCAAAGGTTGATAATGAGGGGCAGTGGGATGTCTTTCCTAGCCTGTCTGACAAATGAGCTCAATAGAAGAGGACTGACAATCAATCTTTGGTCTGGGCTAGAACCAGGGTCTGCACCCCTTGGTCTGTACACCAGATGCACCCCGCAGAGCCATGTCATTTGGCCCGTGGGGCTCCCCGAAGGTCTGGAAGTTGGGCGGCAGAGGAGCAGTGGCAGCACTAATGGCTGTTCCTTTGTTGCCAAATATCCAGACCCATGGAGAGCCAGCCCTACAGGCTTGATAACATGGCCCTGTACACCACATCATATCAGTGTGCGGCCACACATGGGTGCATGGGGTCAGGCCGGTCTGATCACACCCGCAGACTGACCCCATATGCGAACTCTATGCAGAATCCAGCCTGTGGACTGACCCCATGCCACTTATCTGGTTCGCGGGGCCAGAAAGCTGGGTGTGAATGATGTACAAAATCCTCCAGGATGTGTCAAAAGGATAGATAATGGAGATCTGACATAAGAGAAACTTTCCTGCATTTCAGTGATAAAGTTACTCTTTGTGGAGAAAGAAAATGTGCTAGATGATGAACAAATTGCACTGGTGCCAGCTGCCAAATGAGTCCCAGAGTCACTTAAGAACTTCCATTTGCTTTAGCAGTCCGCAGAGACACTTTAATGCCTGCTTAAGGCCTGACGCTGCAGTCCTTCCATAGGCACAAATTCCACTAGAGCCAACGGGGATTTTGCTTGAGTAAATGGCTGCAGGATTACGCTGCTGATATGTATTATTGGAGCAAACTTTCAGCACCAGGCATGGTGAGTGAGACATTCACCTGTGGTTAACAATCATGGACGTTTTGACTTGAAAGCCATCACGCATAGCACTGGAAAATTTACCCCCCAGTGTCTAGTTGTGATTTATTGGGCCAGCTGAAATAAAGATAATGGTCTGAGAGCCTGCACTGTTTGCAAGCTGGCAAACGATCCGAGTTCACTGCCGCTCAAATTACATCTGAACCATTGGCACATCTTTAGCAAGCACTTTGCTATGAAAGGTGGAAGGAAAAAAAAAGTGTGGACGCAGTATTGCTACACAAAAATGCAGCTGGTTGTTTATGGCGGTGTGTGTCAATAGTTTATGCATGTGTGGCTGCGAAAGATTTGGAGTAGAAATAAACTATCCCCGGGTTTATGAAACATTAATTTGTTCTTTTTTATTCTTTTTTTGGTGTATTTTAAATCAATAGGTAATTTAGCAGGAGCTTTGCTAGCTTTGACATTTGCTGTGTACATAAGCTTTAAAGTTTTTCTTTTTTATTTTGCAGTATTATATTCGATTTTTAATAGTTTTTTTGCTCAGAGATTTTTCAATTTTATATTTGTTGTTTAGTTCCTTCCCCATATTTAAGAACCTCCCAAGTATTTATAGGTTTAAATTCACGACACCCTTTTGAAGTAGGAAAGTTTTGCTCCTGTTTGATAAAAGGAAAACTTAGAAGCAGAGCGGTTAGGCACAAATCCTGAATTCTTTCCTCATTTTGGATTGGAAATGGCAATGTTTCATTCAGTCTGTACTGATGAAACTCCCTGATTTTGCTAGAGGGACTGAATGAAAACTTACTGAAGAATTCAGGATTTGGGTCAGTCCTAACAAGGAGAGAATAAAATGCAGCTTCTGTAGCTAAAAAAAAAAAAAAAAAAAGAGAACAAAAAAAAAAAAAAAAAGAGAGAACAACACCCCCCTCCCTCCCCCCCCGAAACACGGCTTACCTTACAAATCCCTACATATGGTGAACTTTTGTTTTCATTTTCTGGCAAATTTTGGAGCTATGCATTATCAGCATGTTATAGGAAAGATGCAGAATAATAATTTAACCTATGGTATTTGCTGCTATTAATATGAACAGTCAGCTTCCCCGAATGAAAATCTGCTCTCTGGATAGGTGTATGATCATGGCTAATGTATTGTATGGGGTCCCTGAGCAGCAGCTTGCTAATAGCAAGTCAAATCATGGAATGAATAGTAGAAAAGCCTACCATATCAGCAAATGAGAAGAACATTTTTAAATTAAAATCAAATAATAGAGTGAAGAAAAGGTCCAGGCACAGTCTGATTGTCTAACAAGAACATTTATTTTGATTCTTTATGTGTCTGGAAAATAATGATCTTTTTGAATTTCTTATGTCACCCCCATGCACAGATATTTACATGGAACGAGTCGCTGCAGGTTGCGTTAATAAGAATTGCATGGCCGGTGCCTCACACAAGTTTAAAATATCCCTCTTTAATTTAAATAAATGTTTGCCAACTAGGATAGCACCTTATTTTCATGAGGCGCCCAAGGAGACACAAATCTTAGACCAGTTTTCATTCAGTGAAAGACAATATGCTTCAAGACATTTGATCTAAAGCAGTACCAACTGAACAGTATCCAAGTTAAAAAAAAAAGCAGTGGAATATTGAAGTCTATCAGATCAAAATGAATAGGTTCACAAGATGGTCAGATCAAAACCTGATGACATTCAAACACTGAGAAATGCAAGGTGCTCCACCTCGGGAGGAAAAAACCCACATCATACTTATAGGTACACACGCTAGCACCACGACTGAAACAGACTTGGGGGTCATGACTGACCACAAGATGAACATGAGCCACCAATGCAATGCCACAGCTGGCAAAGCAAATAAAACTCTGGCTTGCATCTACCAATGCATCTCAAGCAAGACCCAAGAAGTCATCCTTCTGCTTTACTCGGCCTTGGTGAGGGCGCAGCTAGAGTACTGCATCCAATTCTGGGCTCCACACTTTAGAAAGGATGTGGAGAAGTTTGAGAGAGTCCAAAGGAGGGCCACGTGCATGGTTAGAGGTCAAGAGAATAGGCCGTATGAGGACAGGCTGAGTGCCATGGGACTCTTCAGCCTGGAGAAGCGAAGGCTCAGGGGTGCCTTGGTGGCAGCCTATAAGTATATAAGGGGTGTGCATTAGGAACTGGGAGAACATCTGTTCACCAGGGCACCCCATGGGAAGACAAGGTCTAATGGTCACAAATTGCTAGAAGCATGAATGCT